ATATATATATATATGTATATTTATTTATTTTTCACTTCTGCCATCGTCTGTGATTGTTGGCCCAGATATTTGAATTGATTTACTTGTTTCATTCTCCCCCCATCATTTTGTTGTTGTTTTGCTAGTTGATTTCGATATGACCATTTATATGTTGTAAAAGCACTGTCCAAAATGTTCACCTGTCTAAGACAGCCACATTTCTCCTCGACAGTGGGTGTCCGTCTTGGACAATTTCAGCGGCATAGACATGGACTTTCAGTCATGATTAGTTTTCATCTCAGTAGATTAAGATCATAAACACTCCTTACTTTCCTCTGAATAGTGAGTTTGATATTTATAACTTCACTGAAATGTTTCAGGCACAGCCAACTACTGCGTGTCTAGGACAGGGCCGGTGAAGGCAGAGGAAGGTCTAACGGGGAGACTATATATATCTGCCGACTGTGAGAGTCTTGTTGGTCACTACGGCGACATGGAGCACTTGTCAGACGGCGACCTTGATGCACTGGATGCTGAAGGCCGCTGTATTATTACACAGCACAAGATCAGGTGCCCATGCTCTCGACATTTTTGGTATAAAGATTTAGTTTTTGTCGTCAACATTAGTTGTGTGTAATATACATGTGTAAACTTGGAGAAAGACTTAAACCAGTCTGGGTTTGCCATTGTCTCAAAAGTTGAAAGGTTTTTAGTTTAGCTTTAGTCTGAGTGTTACAACCCTTGTAACACAAGTGGGTCACGTTAGTGCTGAAGGTTAGAGGTGCTACTGCAGATGTAACAAAGGAAAGAAGGAGGAGAGATAAGGGTGATAGATGTTTGATAGGAAAGAAGGAGGAGAGATAAGGGTGATAGATGTTTGATAGGAAAGAAGGAGGAGAGATAAGGGTGATAGATGTTTGATAGGACAGAAGGAACAAACCACAACAGAGCACCCGTCAACCACTGACTCTTAAGCTACTGAGCCTTTCTCAACTGAAACTTTTTTGGATCGGAAAAGTAAAGTACAGCAACTGAAACTTTCCACACTGACCCCCCTGCATGTGATTTGGTTTGTCTGTCAGACTTGCGGGAGAAGAGAAGGAGGTGGCTATCATCAACGTCTACGTCCCGCGGGTGGGCGAGGACAGGGAGGACAGACACGAGTACAAGGTCAAGTTCCTGGGGATGCTGCAGGGCAGGGCGGAGGCTTTGCTGGAGGAGGGAATGTAAGGGTGGTTGTTGTTGCTGTTGTTTCTGTTGTTGTTGTTGTTTTTGTTATTGCTGCTACTGCTGCTGTTGTTGAGGCTGCTGTTTGTTGTTGTTGTGGTTGCTGTTGTGGATGATCTAGGAGATATAAGAACAGTTGTTGTTGTTGTTGTTGTTGATCCAAAAAATGTAAGAACAATTGTTGTTGTTATTATTGTTGTTGTTGTTGATCCAAAAAATGTAAGAACAATTGTTGTTGTTGTTGTTATCGATCTAGAAGATATGAAAACAGTTGTTGTTGTTATCAGAGATGCCAAATCTCCTGTTTTTCTGGGTTTTTTCCTACTCTTGCAAAGGAAAGGGGAATGGGAAGAGAAATGTTTTTGTTTGCTCATGGAAAGATTTTACAAGGTTCGTTTTAGGTGAGGTGTGGTGCTCCGCTCATTTTCAGGTTTTTTTTCAAGAATCATTTGGCATCCCTGCTACGATTTAGAAGATATGAGAACAGTTGTTGTTGTTGTTGTTATAGATCTAGAAGATGTAAGAACAGTTGTTGTTGTTGTTGTTATAGATCTAGAAGATGTAAGAACAGTTGTTGTTGTTGTTGTTATAGATCTAGAAGATGTAAGAACAGTTGTTGTTGTTGTTGTTATAGATCTAGAAGATGTAAGAACAGTTGTTGTTGTTGTTGTTATAGATCTAGAAGATGTAAGAACAGTTGTTGTTGTTGTTGTTGTTATCGATCAAGAAGATGTAAGAACAGTTGTTGGTGTTGTTATTGGTCTAGAAGATGTAAGAACAGTTGTTGTTTGTTGTTGTTATTGGTCCAGAAGATCTGTAATGTGGCGTCGGTGGCGTAGTGGTAAGGCTACCAGATTCCTAATCATGAGGTTGCGGGTTCAAGGGTTCAAACCGCGGATGCTACGTTGTATCCTCAAGAAAGGCACTTTACATAAAGTTTCCTCACTTCACCCAGGTGGGAATGGGTACCCGGCAATAGACAGCGAAAGATCTTGTCAGTTTGTTAGTGTTTGATTGTGTGGAATCTGCAGCTTGTTCTGTATACTCCTTGGGAATTTGAGAATGTTTGTGAGCCATGTTCTAGAGTCTGCTGGGAGTAGTAATAGCCTGTGTAAACTCCATGCTGTTGTGATGTGCACAGTATAAAATACAATCCATTTCATTTTTTTTTTTTACCCCCCAGGGCTGTGCCACTGACTGAAGTGTCTTTAGGCCATTCTCAAAGGGGGGGACATTTCTCGTTCAAGCATAGTAGAATTGTTTTAATGTATGGTTGTGGTGGTTCTTCTTTATATGGTTGAACTGGTTTTTCTTGTTACTGGGAAATATTTTCTCCTGTGTGAATGAATTATTACTAACTTTTCAGTGATCATGTGATTGATGTAAAGCGCTCAGAGCTTATGCTCGTATTGTATTGAGCGCTGTATTAAAATGAGGAATCCTCAGGAAAATAAGGTATAGTCACAAACTGAATATCGTGAGGGTATCAATTTTGAACGCTTGTTGACTCATAACTGTACTTATGTTCAACTGCTGGTTGATTATTGTTGTTAGATTTCCCTTTCAACAAACATAACAATAAACCACCAGTCAAACAAATATGAAATTATGAGTCCACGAGCTTTTAAAATTGGCGCCCTCACAATTTCCAGTTTGTGATTATGCCCGTTTTTTTCTGTGGACTCCTCAAATGCAATTTATTATTATTATTTTTTTTATTATTATTATTATTTTTATTATTATTATTATTTTTATAATTATTATTTTTTTTTAAAATAATAATAATTATTATTATTATTATTATTATTATTATTATTATTATTATTATTATGTGTTAGAAGAAACATGTGTTGTTTGTTTTTTTCAGTCATGTCATCATCTTGGGAGATCTGAACCTGACCCACAAGCCTTTGGACAACCCCGAGTATGATGTAAGACATTTATTCACCGAGACATTCTTGTGTACTCAAACCTTACAGATCCAGTCTGGTATATTTCCCTAGTGGGTGGTTGGAGTGCCCCACTACGCGACCTCAGTGCTTTCTTGTTGTATCTCCATTTTTTTAACATTGAAAATGTGACTTCTTCTTAAGCTTTCTCTTTGAAATGAACTGTTTTCACTGTTAGTAAAAATGGATAATGCGACTAGAAACACTGAGGTCGCGACTGGTAGGTCCTACTTCTTTACTTTCCCTCTGGTGTTTCTGTCTGTGTGGGTGGTTGGAGGGTGTCACTGGTAGGTCCTACTTCTTTACTTTCCCTCTGTTGTTTCTGTCTGTGTGTGTGGTTGGAGGGTGTCACTGGTAGGTCCTACTTCTTTACTTTCCCTCTGTTGTTTCTGTCTGTGTGGGTGGTTGGAGGGTGTCACTGGTAGGTCCTACTTCTTTACCTTCCCTCTGGTGTTTGTTTCTGTCTGTCTGTTTGTCTTACTTTTTCCTCTGCACTGGACGGCCATTGTTGTGTCGATGTCCCCTCTTGGTACTGAAACAAACAGGATATTTCCCTCTCGAGGTCTGCGTGGCGTTCCCACCCTCCCCCTCCCATCCTTACCATAGGCTAACCCTTGCCCATCCTCTTGGCTTTGGGGCCCATTTTAGGAGGCACACAAGATCAAGGAGTACAATGTGTTAGGAATCGAGGATGGGCCTTGTGCTTCGCGTTAGATGGACAGAAAGGAGAAAAATTCTTCGCTTTTGGGGCCGCTAATTGCTTTTGTTTGGTTATCGCGACCTCGTTGAAAGCGATTTATGTCTGTTTGCAACCTCGTTGGAGCTGACGTACATTTACAAAGAGATATAGAGGTAAAAATCGGGGATTAAGGATTGTCTCGTTGTAGCCAACTTCTCGTTGAATTTGACCTCTTTGAATGCGACACCCACTGTATTTTTTGTACTAATTACCCCCCAGTAGCTGTTAAGTTCAGCTCAGCAGCATGCTATCATCACAAGGTTTCTTTTGATGTTTTTTTTTCTTTTTTCAGGACAATTTTCAGGTTAGGCCGAGTCGTGTCTGGATCAACAACATTTTGCAAGCAAAAGAGCAGGACTCGTCTCTACCTCCGTCAACTGGCATGATCTCAGAGTTGTGTCCAGGCAACCTCAAGGGCGGTCGTTTCAGCGACGTTTTCCGCCAGCTGCACCCACAGAAAGACGACGGCTTCACCAACTGGAACACCGCCACTGACGCGCGGAAAGCCAACTTTGGCCGGAGACTGGACTACATTCTGGTGAACCTGGAGCTGGCCAAGTACGTGACGAGCTGTGAGATCATGGCGGAGGTTGAAGGTTCGGACCACTGCCCCGTGGTGGTCACTCTGAGCGCCGACCCTGTGGCGGCGTCGGTCACTCCGAACTTGTGCACAAAACTCATGCCTGAATTCAGAGGCCAGCAGCAGAAGTTGTCGTCTTTTTTCTCAAAGACGGAAAAGTTTGCGGCTTCATCGTTGTCTTCGTCCCCCGTTCAAGTAGACTCTGACTCAATTGTTTTGTCCAGTTCACAAGAGGATTCTGGCAACGTTTTGTCGTGCTCCCCCTTCACAAAGTCTAAAAGTCTTCCTCCGCAAGTGTCGGAGAAAAGCAAATTGAAGAGAAACAGTTCTGCGGTCGATAACACCAAGAACAAAAAGTTGAAAAAGAATGACACAGGAAGTAAACAAGCCAGTTTGATTTCCTTTTTCTCCTCCTCGAGTTCATCTAAAAGCGACAAAGTGTCCAACAATTCAAAAGCTAGTCTCAACGTTCAGAGACGGTCAGACTCTGCCAGCAAAAACAACACAATAGAAGTTCGGGATGATAAGTGTATAGACAACTCTGTGAAAGCTGAGACTTTAGAAATTGTTGAAACGGTACAATTGGGTGAAGAGGGCGAGGTCAACAAACTCTGTGACTCATCAACTGCGAAACAGGAAGTTCCTTTACGTCGTACGTCTACAAACATTTCGTCGTCGTCGTCGTCATCAGTGGCCCCCATCAACCCGCCGCCGACTAAATCCTCGGCCAGCGTGTGGAAGTCCCTGCTCGGCGGCCTCCCCCCTCCCCCACTGTGCCCGGGACACAAGGAGCCGTGTGTCTTGAAGACGGTGAAAAAGGCGGGCCCCAACAAGAACAAACAGTTTTACTCCTGTCCCAGACCCGACGGGGCTCCGGGAAAACCTGAGTTCAGGTGTAACTTTTTCCAGTGGCTGAATGATAAGAAGAAAAAAAAGACGTGATTATGAGTGGATTGTATTACTATTTTGGGAGATGTTTTTGTTTTGTTTGGCTTGTGATACTGTTGTCATAATGCTGGGTATTGGTTGTTTTGTTTGTTTTGTTTTGAAGGTTTGGTTTTTTTTGTTGCTTTTTTTTTGTTAATGGGGGGGGGATAATAACATTAACGATAATAATGGTAATGATAATAGTAACAATAATTATGATAATAATAAAAGCATAATTTTGTATAGCGTTAATGGGGGGGGGGGGGGGGTGGCAGATCCAATTTTGAGTCGGATCCAACTGACTGGCCTAACTAACTGGTTTAAATCTCGTATTTGGAATTTCAGCGGTGAGCAAATTCACTTTTGTTATTACATTGTGTGTATCGGTTGTGTCATCACTCTGAATGGTGTGGGCGGTTGGCGGGTGCTCTGGTGTGGTTTGCTTCTTCTTTCCTATCAAACATCTATCGTCCTTATCTCCCCTTCTTCTTTTT